TGTGCATGCGGGTGGCAGATCCCAAAACGGATAAACCTACTTGTCGTATTTTGGATCTTCTACACGCACATTCTGCCCGATCTCTACCACCCCTAAGCTTGTGTAATTCTGTTAAAATATAGCTTTCCTCTCCTTGATAATATTCGTGGAAAAAAGTGAACATACGTTTTATTACGAAAGAATGTATAGTTCTATTGATCATCATCGTGGATATGAATGAGAAGGAAAAGAGTGCACAAGTAAATAAGATATGGCATTAAAAATATAAAAAGTTAAATTGGAAGAAATTGGTAGGACCATACATGACGTAAAAAAAAATGTATATATATATATATATATATATATATATATATATATATATATGTATATGTATATATTTATGTATGTGTGTGTGTATAAACCAAACTGATACATAACCCAGCCCTCGAAAGCACAGACACGAACCGAAACCACTGCGACGCAACCTGGAATTAGCTTCAATCTCTCTTTTAATAACCATCTACACTCTTTTAATTACCATCTATGCTCTCGGCATCTCATTACCTTCGCTCCTCTCGTGTATTTACCTCGCGTCGCCCCTTCCCCCCCTCCCTTACCTCTCGTTGCCCCTCCCTTTCCCCTCGCTCTGCCCCTCCCCTTCGCTCTGCCAATGCTCACCAAGTGGCGGCAATCAGGGGCATGAACACGCAAGACCATGTGGTGTCGCTTCCCTTCCCTCTCTGAATTTTTTGGCTCCTTGCCATCTCGATTTTTGTTTTTATGTTTTGTATCTTATTTAGCTTTGTATTTTCTTCCAAGTTTCGTTTTGTGGGAAGTAGTACGCATACAGAGAGAAATGCATAAAGATAACTCACCAATTGCTCTCATATAAACACCCACACACACACAAACAAGACACACCCATACACTTACACTCTCTCACACCGACACGAAGCACGAACAACACAGAGGACAAACAACCGTTCTCCTCGCCCACACATCATGCTCTCCCGCCCATGAAGCAATTTCTTGAAGCTCACACCAACGCTGCAACATACACACTACGATTCGTCCATTGCGCAGGTTCCTTTTAACACTTTCTTTCAGTGTTTAAAACCCTTGATCAATTGCAGCGTCCGAATCTACGAGCTCAGTTTACATCGTTCTATCCACTCCTTTGGTTGATGTTAAACTCGCTCGTTCGCTTCCAATGTTATGGTTTTACGCTGTCTTTTAATGTTTAGCACTGGACGAAGATGGAGATGAAAGAGAAGAGAAGAAGAGAGCAAAGTGTGAAATATTCTGAAGAGTGAAAGAAGATTAACGCATTTGTTTTTCATTAAGATTTAAGAGGAAAATAACCAAATAACTTCCATACAGCATTTTTTAAAACTCAACGTACGTACCTACGCCAAAAACTGAATACATTTACAAAAAAATCGAAAATATTAAATCCACCGGTTGATGTCACCTATTACTCAGCTTCATAAACAACGTCTCCTCATACAAAAAGAGCCCAGTTACCTAACAAGAAATGAATTCCGAAAATGGAATCGATCATTCTTACGGAGGCGCGCGAGAGACAATGAACATTCTTCATTAAGCGCTCTTGTCAGGAAAAGGTCACGGCAACTCAGCCAATTAACGCGTAACTGCCTCCGTTGTCCTGAGAGCAACAAGGTCAGGGGGGTGAGAACAATAACCTGCAGGAACAGAATGTAACGTACTTCATTCTTTAAATAAACAGCGTATAAACAAGATATATTACCCCCCTCCACTCCCAAACGACGACAACATAGATATATCTACTTTAAGGATTTTCAATAAACTGCAATGAGGGAATATGCAATAAAAGAGAAAACTAAATTCCAAGAGTATATCCAGAAAAGACCAAAAAGCAAAACAAACGCCAAGAAAACGCGAGAAAAGGGTGTGGACAGACGGCCCATTATTTCGTTAGATTGGCGCGAAAGAGACGCCATTACATTTTCTTGGGGGAACTAAACTTATTCGCGGTTATTCTACTTCAAGCAGATGGAGCAACGTACGTGAAATGGTGTGATGTATATAATTCCCATAACTCGTTTCTTTTGATTAATATCTGCATTCATCTTAACGATTTGAAAAAATGATGTCATTTGCCAGAACTTTACCAACTAGGCCGGGGGAACAGAAAACGAAATCGGGAGGAAGTGGGATCGATCAAGTAAATCTGTTAAGCTTTATCTCGTACATTATACTTAAATATCAGACGTGTATTCATTTAATAAATTAGCATTATCGTAAACGGCATGTCTTTGCGGACGAAGCAAATATTCTCCCACAAATTCCAGGAAACATTTGAGTCAAGGACCTGTTGCGTCATGGCGGCTCGGCACTCGTTATCTATTTTATTTCTGTAATGGCATTTCTTATCTAAAATACGAAAATAAACGTCATATATTGCTAATAGCTATGGGTGATAACAGCCATTAAATTACAACATAAACTGACCCATAGACGGACCATACCAAAGAAACAT